CAGACTGACTCAACCCTAAACCTACGCAATCCTGAACAGGCTTTGTCTTGTTCGTCCGATCTTCGATTCCTTAAAAGTTAGAAGCAACAAGCAGTCCAAGAGAAATAGTGTTTGTCAATCATCAAAACATAAGCCATGAAAATAGATTTGCAACACAGCGGTAGTTGATGAGGAGTCTGGTGGCAGAAAAGCTCTCTTCCTTTCTTCCTTCTATTCTTCTCTTCTCCTCTTCTCCTCTCCTCTTGCTTGGGGTCCCCTCCCATGGGAAATGAGATGTCTATTTATAATTTTCTAAGAGTGGCATGTGTAGTAAATAGGAAGATGATCAAGTGTAAATTGGTAGTGATTTGAACGAACGAACGATGTTTAATCCCTTGATCGTGGAACATTTATTGGACATTTGAAGGCCCTAATAATATCAAAATTTGGCGATCATGGGTTCGTTCAATTCGACTCATCGAGCTGCTCAATTCGATTATAATGTTTTGAAATCGTTTGGTCATCCAAATTATAGTTTGAACCGTTCAAATGTGCTTCAGGTCTTTTAATTGGACTCATTTGGGCTCGGATTGAGTTGAATTTGGTGTCATTTGGTTTGCATTTATGAGTCGTTTAGTTCGATTATAAGTTTGCTGAAATTGGAGTTCAGATGGCCTCTCATTTAATTTTTTAAGTTTCCAACTTGATTTTTCCTCGAGATTCGTGCCTGATCAAGATTCTTTTTAATGATATATCACTCTTAATCTTTATATATAAAAAGAATTTGACCTCCACGCATATCTCACTTCTTCCTTAGTTGGTGCCCTGTAGTTTTGAAAATTATTAAATAAATTTAAGTACTCCTGTATTTTACCAAACTTATTTCATATTCTCTTATCATATAGTATGGATGCTAATGGTTCAACTAGAATCTAAAGGTTCGGGTCTTGATATATCTATTATAGTTGAGCAAGATTGTAAAGAAAACGACTCTCAAATTGAATCATCGGGTATGGGAGTAGGCCATTCGTATATGAATCTGGATGATATTGAAAAATCTCAATTTAAGCGGATATGGCGATCAATGCTAAGAGCTCTCATTTGAGAAGACATTTGTATGAAATGAGAGTTTTGAGTTTAGATCCACATCGAACAATCAAAAAATATATTAGTTGGCTCTTTTCTGTAAAATTTAATTTTAGTCGCACTTAATGTTGTATCCAATATAGTAGTTCAAATTAAATTTCTCTTATGATTAGAAACTTTTGTTCAAATAAAATGAATAAAAAAAAATTTAAGTAAACCTTAGGACCATATTTTTTTGTTAAAAGGTTGTGTGAGAAATACACTAAATCTAGTCGGTAGTAGGTGTGACAAACAGTACTTAAAAAGAGAACGCGTTTTGAATAAGATCAAAATTGACGGCATTAATTGTCGGGCAAAGTAAAGCTGGCATCTAACATCAAGACAAAGACCCATGCATTGTTCATTCCCAGAATTATTTGTTCACGTAAACCTGATCCAAAAACTTAAGCTCAACAAACTTAGAAAACGTGCACACAAAAATTAAATCTAATGCGTAATCAAGAACCTAAACTTAATTAACTAATAATTAATCTGCTTTACTTGAAGCATTACATCAAACCACATCGAATAATTCACGAGTTCACCTTCCTACAATTCAAACGAATCTCCCCACTAGTTCCAGTCAAAGGACTAATATTTCCCATTCTCACCATAGCAGCAGTAAAATCATTGAAGAAAAGGTCCGAATTTATACTGTATTGTCTGACCAAGGCATCCTGAGTCCCATTATTGAAGAGCTCCTGATCCGAATGTAATAGCCCTCGTAATCCTACCAAGTTCTGGAAATAATCGGATCCGAATCGGTTTGGGCTCTGTATGTCGAGTGGGGCTAGATTGCTGTCTCCACCTGAGGAGGGGCAATTTGCTTGTCTAAGAGTGGCGAAGTTGGTGTTGATATTGGTGTCATTGTAGACACGAGAGCGAAAGAATTGGCATTGGGCTTGGCCGATTGTGTGGGCACCTGAGAGGGCAGTCATGTCGCGGGCGCTGAGACCCTTGGCAGAAAATTTTGAGATGAGTGAGGCGAGAGAGGATGATGAGCCTGGGAGATCACTATTGGCTGTACTTTGGCTCGCTGTTGTAGCATCCCTTCGACCAAGGTTCACTGACCATGTCGGCCCACCTAGCTACAAGCAACATGATAAACATGCACACAATTATAATGAGTTAATTATTTGACTTATCATTCTCAAGGATCTAAATATAGTTTGAGGGGAAATTATGGAAAAAAAAAAGTTATGCTGATCAAAATTTCTCTTGTGAGACACGTTGTGCATCGATATATCTGCTTCTTAGTACAAAATGTTGAAAAAATTCTATAGTTTTCTTATTTATTGCTACTATAGATATTTTGGTTGGGATTTTGAAGAGGTTGATTTCAATTTTTTTTTTCTTTTGCTAGTAAACTATATATGTCACCAAAATTTTTTATCCATATTTTTAGGTGATATATA